TCAATTAAAAATGTTAATTTCCATTCCTACATGTATGTAGAAACGATATATCCTGGTGTGTTTGATATAAAGGATACCACAAAGTCTGACACATCTGTTTCATACTTGGATATTTTCCTGGAAAAAAAACGTAAATGGTAATCTTACAACAAGGCTCTAAAGCGATAAACGTGATGACATTAACTTTTCTATAGTCAACTTCCATCAATTATTTAGCAATATACCTTTATCACCTGCATTCGGTGTTTATATATCTTATTTGATTCGATATCCAAGAGCACGTTCCACGTATGAACAATTTCTAATATAAGGTAACTTATCGACTAAAAATTGATGAAAGAAGAATATCAGCAGTCTCGTTTAAAGTCATCATTTCGTAAGTTCTATGGTCGATACAATGACCTTATCAGCAAATACAAATTATTAGACCATTATTCATACACTGAATTGACGACGGACTTTTCGTTATTTCTGATCATGACCGGTCAGCAGGAGATGCTCTCTCCTCCATATCACCTGATTCCACCTTTAAAATTTTGGAGGTCCGTGTTTGCTCTACTTCAATTTTGTATTATTCTATGGACTTAGACTTGGATTTGTGTTCTTTATCTCCATATCCTTCATACCCTCACATACGCGTGGCGTGAGAGAACCCTCATCTGCTGTTTGTTTAGAGTGTGTATTTCGTTTTTGACAGCAACATGCTTGCCGATAAGCATTGTAGGAGAGTAATTGGCCTCCATGGTATAGAAATTCCGTGATGCAGGGCTCCTTACCCTTCGAATTTTTAAATGGTAGGTTTAATCTGACAGTACAGAATCTAATGGGCTGTGACAGAAGTCTGAGAGTGATTTTGTAAATGGTAGAATTGAAATACATTTCACATTCAACCTTGTTTACCAGATAGTTATTTCTTGTGTTCCGTCCTTGTAAATTGTGGCATAATGAATACCTTGATTTAATTGACTAATTATAAGTCCCTCAGCAGGTAATTGGCGCGATCCTGAACTGCAACAGTAAAAGTTTTGACTTCCTTTTTAAATGATGTTAGGCTCATGGCGGAGGCTGATCAGGGCATTTCGTTCGGTCACAGTCAAATTGTCTCTAAATTATTGAAATAGATTTTACATAACCCCATTTTGATTGCATAGAGATAATTGTTTTAAGCAGTGTACAGTGTGTTGCCAGTGTTGTAATTGATATTGGTGATACATGTATAAGAGGGATGTGAAAAAAGTGATTGCCACCCGGTACCACGTGTGTCAACGAAAGAGGACCTGACACCTGAATCGGAGTTTTGGGCACATTTTGAGAATACATGTATTACAGAGTCTGCCACTCGTGAGAGGTCCAACCAAAATTAAGTTCTAATATTATAACTGTATAGAAATATGGACATGGCGTTGTATGTAATTTATGATAATGATTGACTAAGCTTGCCATTTGGTGGTAGTTGTGGTAGACATGCGTTATTTCTGTTCCACGAATAAAGTGCTTATTCGAAGTTGTATGTTTTTGCATATCAGTCAATAGTTACAAAAATGTATTTTGTCAAGTGTCTTCTGAACTTTAGGGGAATACGAACACAAGTTCGATGCATACGGAGTGTTAGAAAGTGTTTGTGCTCAAAAAGATCATATAAGGACTATTAATATACTATATAATAAACGAATTTAATTTCTCCATCTTGATTAAAAATAGATCAGGAATTTCCAAATTGACCCATTATGTTTAGAAATACTGTATACAGGGAAATGTTCGCCCTCTCCTGAGAGTCTGTACTAAGCGGATAACATAACATATTAATGAAAGTATTGGGAAAAAATGGAATGCTCTAACCAAAAAAATATACAATTTAAAAAAAATATATAAATATCTAAATTGATTTTCAGTAAAATTGAGAACATATATCTTTCTTCTATAATATCTTGAAATATCAGATAATAGAACATTCAACTTCAAATCCTTTGCACAATTTCATGTAAAATATACCTAAACCGAAAAACAATAGAACGCTTACACATTTACAGATATAATTTGTCTACATTTTACAGGATCATTACAGTTAAAAGTGACAAAAATATCAAAACAGTAGCGTATTTCTTACAACATTGAAAGAACAAATCTAGAAATACGTTTTATTTCGATTGGCCCTTAATTACAAGAAAAATCAAGGCAGATAAGTTATTCGAAGTTGAAGTAAAAAAACAAATATAGGCTAGCCACGGCATTTTGTGAACTGGAGGCTCAAGATCGCCACTTAGAACATAAGACGTAAAATCTAGTAGTGGCTGTTTATTCGTCAAGCGATCTGTATTAAAAATGAAAGTAAAAAGACATTTAGATGACATTTCAAAAACCAACCCCCCTACTAATCCTTTTCAGGATTTTGTTAAAAAATCTGTGTCCGAGTTTAACAGAAATGTTCTCCATTGGGAACTCGAACATCGTTTAAATATCAACTTCTCAGAGTTGAACATATGCTCTTTTACAAATCTAAAAATGCCCCTATAACCTTATTCATAACATCACAGCACTTACATTCCTGCATGCATGTTGGTTTTGTTTTAAGGCATTATTATATTCTATTGAAAGTCTTGACATTGTCAACATTAATACAAACTTAAGAGATGGAAGAAAATGTAGTTATATTTATATGATTTTCTTTCAAGGTCTACGAAGGTAAAGAGGACATTTCCCTCTGTTATAACCCCGAGATAATAAAATTTTTACATCTCTCACTATTTCCTAGATACTAGTAATTCGTTGCAACTTTACTTTGCTCCGAATTCTAATTTAGAATAAGACAGGACAAATATATGTGAGAATGAAAATGTCATTTATTCAATACAGTAAATAGAGAAAAAAACAAGTTTTACAAACAAGGGGGGGGGGTCAGCAAAAACAAAACAAACGTTTTGCACGCACAATAAGATATATACATTTTACATGATATGAACACAAACGTTCTGATCCCCCCCCCGCTTTAGATACAGTGCTGCTATCCTATAAGTTGACAATTCTATCCTATCCTATCGTGAATCCTGCATCCACAATCCTATCCTGTGATTTCAGTCTAATCCTATCCTATCCTATCCTGCAACTCTCAGTTTTTTAATATTTAGGAATTAATTTGACAAAACGAGAAAAAAAAGGAATTATCAGGAAAAAAAATCAGACATAGATATGGTATTCATTTAAATGTTATAAATTTTAATGGATAAAAAATAATCGAGATCGGCATTCCATAATTCCCGACTCGCCGCACAAATTAAATTTACGATTATCATTGCCATGTTAAAAATAAATGTTAACAAACAGGTCGTAATTACACGTGGACAAGTACAGATTTTGCGAACATATATAAAGAAACTGGCTACCAGAAGAATTAAAGAAAAAAAATTTACTTAGTGTTTTAATTTTCCTACTAACAATGATCGGGAGACCCGGGATCGCGATTTGCGTCCGGCGTATTATCATTAATTAATTTTAAAAATCATAGGCCTATACGGAAAAAATGTTTAAGTATATGTTTCATGTAAAATTTTATTTTTTTTCTAAACTGAGCACCATGAAAATAACATGCATGTACATGTATCTATAGTCTAACTGTTCCTGCATAACAGTTTTTTTCTGTATGCGATTCTCAAAAAGAAGATCTGACTAGACATTAAACCAAACAGACAAAGTCAAAATGTAGATCTAGAATATTTTGACTTTCACATATCAAACATTTTAAATGTGAAATTGTCTTATAATATCAAATATTAAATGTATGATTTTTTTTTATTTAAATTCATAATTTATTCTTTTTTAAAATTTCAGTTCATCATCTGTCGTATGTGATATTTTTCAAACATGCAAAATATATAGTTGCTAAATAAAATTCCAGATAATCGAAATGTTTTTTTTTTTCATTTAACTTCAGTTTCTTCTCAGTTTATGGTCAGCTTAGTGCCGTACAAATGTATTTCAATTTCCTATTTTGTTTTATGTGTGAAAATTTAATAATTTATGTTTAATAGAATATATTTTATAAATTTGATATTGGTTGACAGATTGACAGTTTATAAATATTGCATGTAGTTGAGTGTAACATTGTCAACCGAGGCGCAGCCGAGGTTGACAATGGTTTTCGAGGGGTGAACATTTTAAATGTTACACTCGACTACATGCAATATTTATTATATTATACTGAATGTTTTTTTACAAATACATATTACAGTGAACCGTGCGCGCATAAATTCCGCGCAGTCACTGTATTTTGTAATACCACCCGTCGTCAAGCAATGTTGACTGTTGCTACGCAGGAGGGCATGGCTTCATTATCAGCGGATAGAAGTGTTTTTTATCAAATGTTTCGACGAATCAGATTCAAGTAATTTACATGAAAGTATAATATTAATAAATATTGTAGTGAGGTCACACATGTTCCTAAGATCTTAGAAAACATGCTAGAGAAATTCAGAATTCACAGTATTTACAGTATTTATAACTCATTCTTGAGTAAAGCAAGTTTGTATTTGACCTTGGCATTGTATCTTGAATCTTAATCAGTGTCTGATTGAAAAATATTAAAATGCTCCACACATGTTCCTTAGGTCTTATAAACATGCATAAGAATTCACAGTATGTATAACACATTCTTGAGTTAACCTTAAGTTTTATTTGGCCTTTACATTTGATCTTAAAATTATCAGTGTTTAAATGAGAAAAAAAACTTTATCAAGTACACAATATTTTTATTCAAGGTGGTTCCTCAACAGTGTAAAACAATTGAATATTCCATTACCATGAGACAAAGTCATTAAAAGTATCCATGTACAGCATTTATGAATTTTAATTCAAAGATAACAGATACATGTACATGAACTTTGTTTAAATTTAAGTTTATCAATGTTTTTATTACCGTGGTATAATGTTTTACATGCATTTAATTTGACTTTCTTATTCGATTCTCAAAATTGAAATTCAAATGTCAGAGTTATTTTCAGAGAGATGGTCATAAACTGAACAGTTCCACAAATGTCAACAATGCACAGAAAACATACACTGATCTCCTTAATTAAAGCACCATGATTTCAGACTTAGGACTCTTTGACACTGGTTTGAACATCTTTCATCATTTACTCTAACAGCATATGGCATGAACTGCATTCTGCACAGCTGCAAATCTGCAGGGTTTCCTGAAAAAAAATCATATAATTTATTATTATAGGCATGTAGATTGTAAATTTTGTCATACACATTTCATACACATTTAAAATGTTTTTGATTGTGATTATCTTTCACATTTCATGTACAATTGGCTTTAATTTCACCTTTTTCTCTCAAAAAAAAATAATGCATTTAGAAATCATGAAAAATAAAATCTTATACTGCAACCTCAGTCATATAAAATTAAGAAAAAAATCTTATTTAAGATAATTTACTTGTACATCATAATTCATTTTATCTTGTCAACTTGCTAACAAGTATGAATACATTTGTTTTAGTGACTTTTCTCTATTTTCTCTTTGTATTTATCTATTTAATTTTTTTTTCTTGGTTTTCTTTTTTTTTTTTTTGGTCTTGAAATTTGAATATGTAAAAGAAGAAGAAAATATCTATGTAACAGCAAACATGATGACCAGAAAAATTCAACATTTCTTTCAGTTTAACTCTCAAGATTTTTGAAAGAAGAAAATCACTTGTTCCGAGAAACTGCAGACATGTCACCTCAAAGCAGATAATGATGTTTATATAGTTGAATGACCATATAAAAATACATGATAAAAATAAAATCATACATACTTTTTAGATTAAAATCCTTTATACTGTGATGACGCATGAGTGCAGGCCAATCCATCACTGTAATGATGAATATTAAAAGATTAACTTATGTTTCATAACTCACAATACATCATACATACATGTACAATATGTAAGTGCACTGCTGAGTGAGCTTATTTAACATTTCAGCAGTAGCATAAGAAATGGTCATGATGATTCTACATTAATTTATTATATGTTACACTGAAATGAAAGAATTAAGGAAATAATGAGATTAATAAACTGATTAAGGCATACTACATATATTTGTTTTAGTCTTAGAGCTCATTGATAACTAATTGAATCATATGACAGAGTAACGGGGGTATTTGTATATATTTTATCCCCCCTTCTGTCTACACTACTTCTTTTTTCCGCACCTAATTTTTGTTTATATTAAATAGAATAAAATGTTTATATCTTAAGACACGAGAACATTGTTTTGAGGGATAAATAAGTAAAAAATGCAAACATGTACAGTGTGTAGTATACTTACATGAACTCGCACATCATCTATTCAAGTCCGCTGTTGACGATTCCTGTGGAATTATCCAAACAAACAGAGCATATTTAACAGAAAACATGTTAGAACACTTTTACACAAGCAAGAATCGGTTAAATTATCCAAACATGCTGAAGAAATACGGTCTTTCGATGTCTGGACTCTTCGTTGTTTACATTCCAAAATCTTCCGGTGATCGTTCACGGTTAGATCGTACGCCGTGTTACTCGAAGTTTATAATGTAAATCTGTGTTTTGAGAAAAAAATGTTTTATTTTCTATTGAAAATTTATAAATATTTCTTTTGTAAACATTTTATATTGTATTTCATTTTTGTAATTTATTCTGAAATATGAATGAACCTTTGCTCGAATCTGATTGGCTGTAGGATACAGGATAGGATAGGATAGGATAGGATTGGATTAACTTCTATATGTTTCTATCGTGAATCCTCAATCCTGAATCCTATCCGATCCCATCCCATGTCAACTTGTGGGATAGCAGCACTGTAATAGCACAATAGCAAAGGTATAGTAAACATCTAATTTCCAAAAATACCATTTTGGTTATCCCTTTTATTTTTCGGTTAAAAATGAAAAATTTTTTGTAAATTTTTTGTAGTAATTGTAGGTTTGTAGGTTTGTGGAACGACTATTTCCATTATCTAAATATTTTTTCATTATTCTCCACATAGAAAGCACATAAAACTTTGTATTCTTGATTTACTTATATAAAAAGGTGTTTTTTTTTTATATTACAATGAAACATAAGGAGAAAACGATCGGTATTTAAGAACAAAAGTCCATAAAACAATAATAAATAAGAGCAGAGGAAAAAAATAGACCTAAAAATTCTTTCTGGACTCTCATGAATGATAGATTTAAACATATAATATGTAATTTTGCTGTTTTTTGAGTTTAACAGTGATTCATAAAGCTACTGGAGAAGCATTTTCAAAAATTCCCCAAACTTAATAACGCTTAGAGCTTTGTGGTCCCATCCATCAATATCATTTTGATGGAATAAATTAAATGTCTGTAGAAATGATACTTGTATGAATTATGTTAAGTGAAATAGATGCACTTTGTTTATTTTAAAAATCTGTTTAAGGTGGTTATATAAGAACAAGATAACAATTATTCAGACCAATGCCGTCGATGGTTTGTCAAATTTACAGAAACTGTAAGTATATACATGTAATCATCATCTGCAAGTATCCTTTCTAGGTACCTTAATCAATTATATCTTGATTTTATAGGTTCGTGTCTAATTTACTCATAATTATTTTTTTTATTCAACATTTGAGCATGATAACAATTCATTTTTTAGATTTCATTTTTAGGTCACCTGAGTAGACTCAGGTGACATATTGCTATCTTTTTTTTCCGTTGTTGTGCATCTGTACGCCGTCCGCCTTGCGCAAATATTTGAACATTCTCGGCTTTTTCTCTTCAACCGCTCAAATTATTTAAACCGATTTTGGCACAACGCAGGGGGAATAAGGATGCATACAACATATTCTACCTTGGCTAAATCAGTGCTGCCTTACGACGTCATAGTAGGCAAGATGACGTCAATTTTAGAAATCAGGTTTTCGTAAAATTGGTATTTAGCAATGTAATGTAACTTTAGAAAATGATTAGAAAAGTGTAAACATCAACAAAAATAAAATGTTATTATTTTGTTATGCTGTAACAGTCGTTATGATTGAAATCTACCACCGATGACGTCATATGTGTACATCAAATAACTAGGAAATTGATCATGTCGTGTAACCAAAATTTGGCTAAGAGACATGTTCAAAGATACGTAAAATGGAGTTTGAAAGGAAATATCGGAAATATTGCGTTAAATTCATATGGAGTTTAATTAATTAAACAAGATTGCTAATTTATTTTCATCGATTATTTTTCTCTTTCGAAGACACTCAACTATATTACGTATCCCGGTCGGCCTATCGTCCGTCATTCTTGACCAAAAATGCAACAGAACAACAATAAGCTGGATATTTCAATACATACGATTTGTACAGATTGAAAGCTTGCGTTTTGACAAACTTGGAAAGTGCTGCTAGAATCCGGAGTTAAGCGTGGTTGTACGAAAAATTTCGATTCATATGTATAAAATTTAAAACAATTGGTAAGGTTTCGTGCGAATGTGTGGAATTACTATTTTACGGACAAGATAGTGGGATTCTAGCAGCACTTTTTAGACAAAATAGACGTTTTCAGCTATATTGCATACCCAAAGAAATTATCAAACTCCAGGGTATTCCTGTTCTGTAAGCCTTTTTATTAAGGAAACTTTTGCTATTAATAGAGGTCACGTGATGCTGTGGTGGTGATGCACGTCTTTGTGTTAGACACGCTTTTATCTGCAATAGTAAATAACAGTTTACGTTTAGCTGTGGTTTTGGTAATTTATTAAACTAAATTTTCTTCAAAAAGTCTAAATTTTCCTAGAAATTACTTATATGCTTCCTTAACATACCCAAAAAACATTTATGGGTGAACAGAAATTATTAACGTCATGGTCCCTGCCTCTCTCGGGCCTGAGAGGTGAGCCAAAACCGTAAAAAATTAATGCATTCTTAAAAAATCCTCTTCTATACTTCTGGACATCAAGAAATTAAACTGTGGCTTGATTGTAATAAGCATTAAATTCTCTACCAAAATTTTTAAATTTGTGTCCTAGGGCCAGGATTTTTTGCGCTATGACAGGGCTTTAATGATTATATACTGAAAATGCATGAAATCGTTAATAAATTCTTCACTGCTGTAACGCATTTACCTGATGAACTAAGTAAAAAGTTCTGATGAGGGAGGCTGCCTCTTCCAAAATGGTTAGTTTCAGGGCCCCTGGGTCAGGGTTCTGTTGTTAGGGTGGATCTTTCATTATTATATAATAAAATACATTAAATCTTTCAAAAACTTCTCCTCTGCTTCTGTCAATTAAGCTGACGAATAAAGTAGACAACTATGATGAGGAAGAGAGTCTTTTCCAAAATTTTGAATTTCATGACCCCTTGGTCACTGTTTCCATTTTGATGTGGTATTAGAGGGGGCTTATTTCTTTTATACTGAATGTAAATTAATACTTTGAAAATCTTCTTATCTGCCAATCAACTGGTGCTCTTTTCTTCATGTCACCTGATCCCATCTTTCATGTTTTGAAGGTCCGTGTCTGCTTTGCTCTTACGTTGCATTTTGTGTTATTTTATGAACTCTTAATCACTGTTCGTTATCCCCATATGTTTCTTTTTACAAATTTAAGTATGAAAAATCAATGATGTTTTTCAATGCAAAAAAAGACCTTACCTATTAACGGATGTCTTCAACCAAATGCAAGCTGAACCTGTGGATAATGTCTGATTGTTTAATGCGTCATTGAATGTTGACGACTCTTTAAAATACGAGTGATAACTTATTGTCTGTACATCGGAAAATAGAACTTCCTGACCTAGCCCAATTAAATTTTCTTACCATAGGAATTTCTACTGCAATAGTTACATGCAACCATTAAACATATTTTCCTTATATCAGAAATACGTACATGTACATATAGATGCATGTAATATTAATGTCATTGTTATAATGTAGAGTTCATGAATACAAAATGTTGTCACAAACAAATAAAGTTGACCTGGGTATTTACAGAATATTGCTTCATTATGCCCTCGTATACTCTATTGAGAAATATATCAAAACATATGTAAAAATAAAAATCAAGTTCGCAGCATTGTAAAGTCTACAATTAATGAGAAAGGTCCTAAATTTTAATATTTAACAGAAACAACCCCTCAATTAGCCAAATATCTTCTAAAATTATTAATATGCATGCATTTGTAATTGTTTTTATCCTAAAATAAATTTTCGAATATTGTCAGAGACATTTATTGCGAAATATTATTTATTAATGCAGAATCATTTGGATTCAACACAAAAGTATGCTGAAGTTGATAGTTAGAGATGTTTCGTCATTACAACATATTTACATCCACTGAATATTTCTTTCCTTTATTTCTTATGAAAACCATTGTCATATATCAGTGCATGATTTAATTTAACATAGGTACATCTTAACGATGAGCCCACTCGAGTTAAAATGTAATTTTGTTTTTTGGATCTCTCTATATGTTTTTCTTTCTATACTTTTTGGAATCAATCGAAGAATTACCAGCATGCTCATAAAAGAAAACATGGAATATAATCTCTCAAGGAATCCGTTCTCAAGGGTAAAATCAGCTGTAATAGTTTTATTGTTGCTTTTGTTTAGACAATAATTTTAATTTGTTTAATTCGGTTTTCACGTAGATTTTTGTATACCACTTCATTATTTCAATTTGTAAATAATATACGAACCAGGAATACGAAAAAAGAAATACCCTTGATTTACGACATGTGACAGTATATTTTTGTATCCCAAACTAACCTTCACTTCAAATAATTGAACTGTTTTTTTAAAGGAAATAGTAAAATTAATAATTTTAAGCAAAAGACGGCAATGGAAGTAAGTGTTTGTCACTGTATGATTCGTCGCCCTAAAAAAAAAAATATTACTTGAAACTCTTGTTGCTACGGCAACAAAAACGGTCTTCCGTTCTCCTCTATCTATCTGTATGAATGAGCTTTTATCTATGTAAAAAAGGCAAATAATATTTAAATTGATGACAGGAAAACAAACGGCCTGGGGTGTAACTTACCAAGATTCTTGACGTAACTTTAGACAATTATAGTCTGTGACGACCGGAAGTGATGGCAGACACATTTTATCCTACACCTGTTACCCAATTTTCATGGTTAATCATTTATATAAGTTTAGTGACTTGATCTGTTACAGTGTAGGATATCTCGTAATGTTAACTTCTCATTTTGAAGAGAAGAAATCACATGACCGGATGTAAATTTTTAAAATAAATATATTTGAGGTTACTCTAGGCATTTCAGTCTGAATAACAGAATTACAGTGGGACTGATATATTTCGAAACTACGAATAAGATGCTATAATGTGATGCCAAAAAAATTCATAAAAGAAAAGTTAAAATTTTCGATTTCTTAAATCAC